ATACAAATACATGTTCAGATATGTAAATTCATACCTGTAATTTTCATTTTTGTTTCTTTTTTTATTTTTTTTTTTTTTAACAACGTAATCTTGTTGTGAAATTTATTAATTTAAAATTAGAAATATGTAAAACATATATATAAAAAAAATTTAAATTATTTACAATGCACAACTCCCCCCCTCCCCATTTTACCATAGAATAGTATTCGTTTGGAGCGACTTGATGTCATATTTTCATTTTTGTTTCATTCAATAGTTATAAGTTTTACATTAAAAATTGGTCATTTGCTCATTTTTAAATTTTAGAAATGAGAAGCAGTTAAAGATATTAATATTAATACGTATTAATTTTATTCCAAATTTTTATTATGCAGATCTTTTCACATTTTTGTTGTTTGAAACTTTAAAAGAAAATAACTCAGAATTTTATTATGCAAATTGGATATTGTTTCTAAGCCAGAAATGTTCTGCATAAAAAATTACATATAAGAATTGTATTAAATCAAAATTTCTTTCCAAGCTAAAAACAAACCGACCTGGCCCTCATATATATATATTATGTAATTTTAGAGCTATTTCTATAAATTTAAATTAGAAAGATAGCCAGGAGCTCGGAGATTTATTTAGTAAAGTTTAAAGTAGAAATTTAGACATAAAATATTGTGTTATTTCCACAGCGGCTCCAGATTATGGACACTAATAGATTTTACTATGATACTTATCCCCGAATTTTACTATGTTGATCCTTTCCTTCATTGATGGATCACGAATTAAATTTGTAATGTTTACCCAAAAAGTCTAATTTTAGCATAATCTATTATATTAAAAACGTTAGGTTCACGTGAGCGTAACGTTTAGAATGGCGCCCACGCATAAATAAGCGTAACGTTTAGAATGGCGCCCACGCATAAATAAACGTAACGTTTAGGCTGCCACGCATAAATAATTTTTTTGAATTGTTCAATAACGCAAACGTGTGCCACAATCTATCCGTTATTGTATCGTTGGGTTACGTTTAGACTACCACAAGCACGCGAATAAATATCAGTCGTGGGACATGTCACGGAGTGTAATTTCATATGTGAAATTAAAATTTCAAATCCGTGTAACAAATCGGGTTTTAAAAATATCTCGACTTTCTAATAATAAACTCGAACTTCACTATTAAGATAAAAAGAAACTACACCATTTAAGCTTTCTAATCATATATTTTTATATCTGAGAACGCTCTCTATATAAAGCTATGGCTATTTAAAAGTAGTGGTGCTTTTTCACTTCAAAGTTGTGATTATCTACCAATATC